CTAAAAATGCAAGGTTAACCCCTTATAATTTGAAATTTTCATAAATATCTGATTTTGCCCAATTTTGCTAAAAATACGAGGTTAACCCCTTACAATTTGAAATTTTCATAAACATCTGATTTTGCCCAATTTTGCTCAAAATGCAAGGTATAACACCTTACAATATGAAATTTTCATACACATCTGATTTTGCCCAATTTTGCTAAAAATGCAAGGTTAACCCCTTATAATAGGAAATTTTCATAAATATCTGATTTTGCCCAATTTTGCTAAAACTGCAAGGTTAACCCCTTACAATTTGCACTTTTTCATAACCATCTGATTTTGCCCATTTTTGGATAAAAATGCAAGGTTCACTCCTTACAATCTGAAATGTTCATAAACATCTGATTTTGCCCAATTTTGCTAAAAATGCAAGGTTAACCCCTTACAATTTGAACTTTTCATAAACATCTGATTTTGCCCAATTTTGCTAAAAATGCAAGGTCAACCCCTTACAATTTGAAATTTTTCATAAACATCTGATTTTGCCCATTTTTGCTAAAACTGCAAGGTTAACCCCTTACAATTGGAAATTTTCATAAATATTGGATTTTGCCCAATTTTGCCAAAAATGCAAGGTTAACCCCTTACAATTTGAAATTTTCATACACATCTGATTTTGCCCAATTTTGCTAAAACTGCAAGGTTAACCCCTTACAATTTGAATTTTTCATACACATCTGATTTTGCCCAATTTTGCTAAAAATGCAAGGTTAACCCCTTATAATTTGAAATTTTCATAAATATCTGATTTTGCCCAATTTTGCTAAAAATACGAGGTTAACCCCTTACAATTTGAAATTTTCATAAACATCTGATTTTGCCCAATTTTGCTCAAAATGCAAGGTATAACACCTTACAATATGAAATTTTCATACACATCTGATTTTGCCCAATTTTGCTAAAAATGCAAGGTTAACCCCTTATAATAGGAAATTTTCATAAATATCTGATTTTGCCCAATTTTGCTAAAAATACAAGGTTAACCCGTTACAATTTGAAATTTTCATAAACATCTGATTTTGCCCAATTTTGCCAAAAATGCAAGGTTAACCCCTTACAATTTGAATTTTTCATACACATCTGATTTTGCCCAATTTTGCTAAAAATGCAAGGTTAACCCCTTATAATTTGAAATTTTCATAAATATCTGATTTTGCCCAATTTTGCTAAAAATACGAGGTTAACCCCTTACAATTTGAAATTTTCATAAACATCTGATTTTGCCCAATTTTGCTCAAAATGCAAGGTATAACACCTTACAATATGAAATTTTCATACACATCTGATTTTGCCCAATTTTGCTAAAAATGCAAGGTTAACCCCTTATAATAGGAAATTTTCATAAATATCTGATTTTGCCCAATTTTGCTAAAACTGCAAGGTTAACCCCTTACAATTTGCACTTTTTCATAACCATCTGATTTTGCCCATTTTTGGATAAAAATGCAAGGTTCACTCCTTACAATCTGAAATGTTCATAAACATCTGATTTTGCCCAATTTTGCTAAAAATGCAAGGTTAACCCCTTACAATTTGAACTTTTCATAAACATCTGATTTTGCCCAATTTTGCTAAAAATGCAAGGTCAACCCCTTACAATTTGAAATTTTTCATAAACATCTGATTTTGCCCATTTTTGCTAAAACTGCAAGGTTAACCCCTTACAATTGGAAATTTTCATAAATATTGGATTTTGCCCAATTTTGCCAAAAATGCAAGGTTAACCCCTTACAATTTGAAATTTTCATACACATCTGATTTTGCCCAATTTTGCTAAAACTGCAAGGTTAACCCCTTACAATTTGAATTTTTCATACACATCTGATTTTGCCCAATTTTGCTAAAAATGCAAGGTTAACCCCTTATAATTTGAAATTTTCATAAATATCTGATTTTGCCCAATTTTGCTAAAAATACGAGGTTAACCCCTTACAATTTGAAATTTTCATAAACATCTGATTTTGCCCAATTTTGCTCAAAATGCAAGGTATAACACCTTACAATATGAAATTTTCATACACATCTGATTTTGCCCAATTTTGCTAAAAATGCAAGGTTAACCCCTTATAATAGGAAATTTTCATAAATATCTGATTTTGCCCAATTTTGCTAAAAATACAAGGTTAACCCGTTACAATTTGAAATTTTCATAAACATCTGATTTTGCCCAATTTTGCCAAAAATGCAAGGTTAACCCCTTACAATTTGAAATTTTCATACACAACTGATTTTGCCCAATTTTGCTAAAAATGCAAGGTTAACCCCTTATAATTTGAAATTTTCATAAATATCTGATTTTGCCCAATTTTGCTAAAAATACAAGGTTAACCCGTTACAATTTGAAATTTTCATCAACATCTGATTTTGCCCAATTTTGCTCAAAATGCAAGGTTTACCCCTTACAACTTGAAATTGATCGAAAACATCTATTTTGCCCATTTTTGGCAAAAATGCAAGGTTAACCCCTTAAAATCTGAAATTTTCATAAATATTGGATTTTGCCCAATTTTGCTAAAAATGCAAGGTTAACCCCTAATAATTTGAAATTTTCATAAATATCTGATTTTGCCCAATTTTGCTAAAAATACAAGGTTAACCCGTTACAATTTGAAATTTTCATAAACATCTGATTTTGCCCAATTTTGCTAAAAGTGCAAGGTTAACCCCTTACAACTTGAAATTGATCGAAAACATCTATTTTGCCCATTTTTGGCAAAAATGCAAGGTTAACCCCTTACAATTTGAACTTTTCATAAACATCTAATTTTGCCCAATTTTGCTAAAAATGCAAGGTTAACCCCTTACAATTTGAAATTTTTGATAAACATCTGATTTTGCCTGACCTTTGCTAAAAATGCAAGGTTAACCCCTTACAATTTGAAGTTTTTCATAAACATCTGATTTGGCCAATTTTTGCATAAAAACGCAAGGGTTAACCCCTTAGGAGGCCTATACAGTCTACTTTTTTCCATAAAAATCTGACTTTGCCCAATTTTGCTACAAATGCAAGGTTATAACCCTTTACAATTTGCACTTTTTCATAACCATCTGATTTTGCCCATTTTTGGATAAAAATACAAGGTTCACCCCTTACAATCTGAAATAAACACCTGATTTGCCCATTAGTAAGTCGTATTTATGTCGGTTTCGAGTGTTACTAAAATTTAAATATATATTCAGTTGAGTACTACATTAACTTTGACCCTCGTTTTTCAATCAACCTAAATAAGCCACCGTTTTCACGAAGGGACAGGCATGTTGAACTTGAAGAAAAACCGTTCAGGGCGACAAATCTGCGATGGACCTATGTCACTTAAAAAACAATTGGTGGGTTTTTTTGGGGGGGGGGGAGGGGCAGGGGGTACTAGCTGACCATATATTTGAGAAGTCAAGTGCAGTATAAAGAAAATATAAATGTGTTACACAATGTTCGACGGCATTAAATCATTCTAATAATATAAAAGGCTAAGTTTTCTTCAAAGATATTACACCTTAGGAAAGCTAGCTAGGAATCATGCCTTGCGTATCCTTCCACAGGATTTCATCAGTATTTTAAGACAGCCAGATTGATTTGTTAAAAAAGTGGGATTTTTTTTAATAGCAAACATATTTCACTCTTCAAACCTACAAGCCTTTTTGCACTGATATGGTAATTTATTAAACACTGCCAGTATAATATATCCGCAGTATATATATATATACTTCACCATTATACACATATCCCAAATCTACCAAAAAATCAATTGTCAACGTTAAAAAATATAACCAAATAAAGTACAAATGTATATCAACACCGCTTATCTTGAAAAGGTAAACATGTATGTAATCACAATCTGTGAATGATCCCTTTATACACTACACAAATCAAAGCATATAGTAATCAATGTATATAGCATACAATATATGGCAATCACCCGTCTATTATAGATACAATGCTATAGGCCTACTGATTACAAAACTGAATCTTCAAAACTTCTTCAGTCCCCGCTTAATACTTGATTTCAGTGGTGGTATGAGTTTCCTATGTGAAATCGTGGTGGATTTCCTTGTATTGGTACCACCTATTGGCTTTAACACTGTGGTCTTTATACTTATCGACAAATTTAATCATGTGAATAAAATACAATATTTACAACTATGATATCCAGTATGTTATGAGTTGCCATTACATGGTATACAATATCCGTAAAAAAAAAGTAAACCTTCATTTTACACAAAATATCACACCCTAATACATGTAATAATAATACAAATAAAAATATACCCCTCGTCTTCAAACAAGCATCTGCATACAAAAAATATTTCAAACAAATTATATGCTGTGATTTTATAATAAAAACACAACCTGTGATTAATCTGAATATACTTACATTATACTAAATCGAGTTATGTTATTCCATACCGTAATAAGGCAATCCTTATACACCATAATAATTTAATTCCAAAATGGAGGGAAATTATGCGGAATGTATTCCCTTCCAAACATATCATTATAGGCGACCCTTAGAAGGATCCACATGATGCCTCGTTCTCAAGATCCTTTTGACTAGTTCACATGGGGCACTCTTTCCAATACTAACCTTTTTCAATTACAAAATGTACATATATTGACTGCTTTATCTCGTGGTGTAGTAAGACTAGCCTCCCGAGGTGATCCATGGACATTCTATTTTCGCGAGGCGAAGCCGAGGGAAAATAGAATGTCCATGGATCACCGAGGGAGGCTAGTTTTACTTCACCACGAGATAAAGCAGTCAATATTTGTTTTATAACACTCCACCCACAGATTCTGCTTGGTTTTAATATTTTAAATTATTTAAAATTGAACACAGTTGAAATAAACTTCAATGTCAATACAAAATTGGAGGAAAATGTATTTCTCTCTTCCAAACTACCCCTTCAAGAAATGTTTGAACCCAACTCTGCGGCGCGCTCTCTTTGGAACAAAACGCGCTAGAAGCAACGCGCACACCAGCATGCATTTGCACACAAATACCGCGCCGTGGATATAGTACTTTGGTTGCTAATGGTATAGTACTTTGGTTGCTACGGGTAGGGTACTTTTGGCCCTGCACAGAAAGGTAGCAAAAATTGAAAGTATCATGTGACTCACTCTCGGCCAATCAAGACACAGAATCTGTGGGCGAGGTGTTATAATACAAACTTTGTCTTGACCAAAAAACACCTCCAAGATTCAATCCTCTTGATAGTGGTCATCACTGGTCAAGTTGACGCCGTATTTAGTAGGGATTAGGATTGCGGACCACACGCCCGGCTACTTCCAAATCCTGGTGAAAGAAAACGAGATTTCTCCACAATGATACCCAAGTCTACAGTTAAAGCGCAGCCATATCAGATACAAAGTTCTTTCTTAGATCATTATGGATCTAGGAATGACAAACTCAGTTTGCGTCTCATTCTTGACCCTCCTGCACAGCTGGGGGTCATTGGAAATGACATTGAATACTAAAGCTTTCCAGTGAATGTATAGAATAATGGGCATCGGACAAAATCTGACGGAGTTATAGGTGTTTTCAGTGCAAAATGTTCATCATTGCAATATTCTATGGTTGTATCTCAAAAAAACGGTTGTGTACGACTTCCGACTGGTTATGCGTGGGAGGGTCACTTTGTGTTTTGGGCTTATTGAAATTCGCCGTAACGCTTAGCTCTTGAAAAACCTAAATATACTGAAGATTGCTTCAACGGCTTACCCTCGAGTTCTCTTGGTAGTAGGTGTTGTGCCCCGTGGCCATGTAGTATCCTGCATGATTGCTGGGCAAATCCATCAGGCCCTTTATTGGAAGATAAACATTACCAGTAAAGTGGACATTATTCAACTGCAGTCTTCAATTTTGAAATCCATTCCATCCACGAATCTTATTCTCAGCACAGTGTGCCTATATAGTTCATATTCTGGTTTGATAACTTGAAATATATTCGAAAATAGAAAAGATAAGACTTGTACCTGCTGCAAGTAAGGTGAGTGACTCATGACCTGATGCAGTCGGCGCATTCTCCGGTCCTCGTCTCTTCCCATGAAGAGAGTCTTGTTAAAGTCACCGTAGTAGCCAGACTGCTCGTAGTCAGGTACCACATTGGTGGAGAACACAGGAATTGGATCATTCCTCCAAGTCCAGTAGGGGTCGGAAGGTTGCTCATATCTGGAGACGTAACCAGCACGATAGCGATGTCTCATCAAGGTGTGGAGGCAGACTAGTATGGCCAAGATGAAGACGAGTAACAGCAGGCCAGCGAAGACGAGGACGAGAACTAAAACTGTAGAGACGTCTGTAAATCAACAAAAGAGATACCAAAACCATCAAACAAAAATTTAACACAGCACTGCATACCATGTAACTTGGAATTTGATAACAGGGCCTTACCTTGGGTAGCAGACTCGGTGAGTGGTTCAACCGTGGATGGCATCGGTGAATCGGTAGCAGGAGCCAGGACTGATTCGCAATGCTCACCGGTGAACGAGGTTGCACACCTATGGATAAGATAAATATGTAATCCACACAATGCCAGGGCCCAATTTCATAGCGCTGCTTAACAGCCGACTTTGTGCTTACTGAGCCTCCATCTATTTCATAGGGACCGTTAAGCAGTAAGCACAGCAAAAGCACGCTTAACACCAGAAGAAAACTTTGCCTAAATCAGTGACGTAACAATAGAAATCTCCATGCGCGCGCAACCGTTAGCATGAAATAGTGCTTAAGCAGCAGCACAATTTTTTGCTATAGTAAGCACAACTTTTCTGCTAACTGTTAAGCAGTGCTATGAAATTGGGCCCAGGGCCTGAACCAGATTGTTTAGGCAAGTACAAATAGGCAAACAGAGGACCACGCGCAAATGTACAGAGCAGAGAACAACAGAAAGTTGGGCATACCTGCAGGTGAAGGTGAAAACAGGGAACAGTCCCGATACATCACACGACCCACCATTGCTACAGTGGTCCTGCGGGCAGCTTGTAGACGATTCTGTCCAAAACAAATTTCATTTATATCCGTTAGGGCAGTCTCCAAAAAGAGGTCGCCAACGTACCACAAGAGAAATAACTTCCCACATGAAGCGGCTATAACCTCAAGATTATGAACAGATACCTTCCATGCAAGTTTGCTTTTTGTTCTGCCTTTCGATGTTGCTTCGTCTGCCTCCTCAGTCCCATTCATTCCAATTTGGTAAAATGTTTTCATTATCATCTCTCACAAATATAGGTACCTATTAGACAACTTAGACCACAAAAAGTATGGATACATTTTTTTTGCTTCTTGCTCATTTCCGCTTTTTATTTTCCCGTACCTTAAGGGTCTTACCAGAGGCCTTTATCAACCTATCATGTTGGACTACCATCAAAGTCGGTTAAAACATCAACATTTTTTTCTGACAGCTCTGCTAATAATAAAGTAATACCTCTTTATTATTACAAACGATGCCATAGTGAAGTCATTTCTACATTTTTTGTCAAATCGAATCCGAATGTTTGGTTATTCACAAAGACTTCTGGTGACTACTTTCAGAGCAGTGATAATACTTCTTTTGGTTCTGATATAAACATGGAGGTAACGTACGGCTGTCAGTGACGTACTGGGTGTCAACTTCTAGATTGTCGGAGCCATCATCCAGCATGCTGGTTTCTTGGAGGACATTCTGTAGAGTTGAGACAGTCGGTGCGGAGTTCTCATCGGGAAACAATGCCACAAACTCGACGATTATACTGCCTCCACTAACCACACGGATGCCTACCACATCTTCCACCGCTGATGTGAGTACGCTTCGGTTTAGAAAGAAGAAGATCTAAGACAAACAAAAATTGACACTGCAATATTTTACGATCATGTTGAAAACTGTACCTTTTAAACAGTTTTATTACGAAATCGTACAAAGTGCTAATACATTTTAGCATGAACAATGGGGATATCTTAAATAACAAAGTTTATCATGATAGATCGAGGCATTCGTGCAAAATTCAACACTGCTTTCAATACAGAATTTTACGACTCACCACTTCAGAACTAACGGTTAAAACCTCTGTACTCGCAGCAGAGCTTGGATTAATGAATTGCTGAATGAAGCCAACAGGACCTCCATTGATCCCAAACACTCGAAGCCGAAAAATGCGTGCAACCTTCCCTGTATAGAATGCGAGAGTGCAGTTTAAATAGACCTACAAGTCACTTTCAGTAGCTGTGTGGCATCAAAGTTTAGTGAGTCACAAATAATTAAAAAGGGACAAAACCTTGAAAAAACCTTGAACATAGAAACTGAATTCAAATAGAAAGGTTCTTGTAATTATCCTGCTAATAATACTGCAGGGCCATAGCCAGGCTGTTGGGAGGGGAGCATCATTTTTACCATGAAGTAGACCTTTTCATGTCTCAAAAATAAACAGTAGATTACGCATGGAAATACACAGCCTGGTTGAAGGGGGAGGGTCATCCATTCCCCGCCCCACCACCCCCTTCCCAAGGTTCTGTGTCGGGGTTTGCTATAATAACAACAGTTTTGAACCCGTTTATTTTATAACAAAGAACAAAGGATCATACTTATGCAGAAGCCATTTCCGTTCATGATGTAACCGTCCAAGGCATTGCAAACGCACGTGTAGCCGTTATCGGACTGGACATTCGCAACACAATACTGGTAGTCAACAGGGCAAAGGCTGTCAACCAAACATGGGTTTGAAACTGCAAGAAAAGAACGTATTCGGAGAAGTATATCCAGATATTGAAAGAAGTAAGAGACAGAAAAGTCTGTGGAGTGCCATGACCTCGTGGTTAAGGGCTTTGAATTCTTGGTCTGCAGGTAATTCTGCAGGTTGCGGGTTCGAGTCCAGCCTTGGGTCATGGTGCGTGTGCCCTTGGGCAAGGCGCTTTGTCACTCATTGCTTCTCTCCACCCAGGAGTAAATGGGTACCAGTGTGAGGGCAGAGATGGTTATTGTGATTGAATTAGCTTGCTTGCGCCTAACAGGCTGCATTGAGCTGTATACTCCCCAAAGAGCTGAGATGGTATTTGGAATGTTTAATTGGCCAAATTATCACGGGTAATAATAAAACTGTAAACGCTGTGATTTAGTTTATTAATAAGAGTGTTCTTAAATGCCTATTATTATTATAACAATAATAATAATATTTTAAAAGTCGATGGAAAAATTACCTTGACAAAATCTTCCCGATAACATCATTGGGCAGGCACACTCACAATGGTCAGCATCAAATGTACCTTCTTGGCAGCTTGCTTGGGTCAAAGGACACTCTGGGAGAAAAGAAATACAAGGAACAGTTGTTTTCTAACTGATGTAAACTTCATAGGCCATCAATTTCAAAAGGAAGTGGCCACTCGAGCCGGGTGAGTATAGTCTGATGTTTACCTTCGGGAGGAAGCGCGGTTGAGGAATCTACTACTGATCGAGTAGTTGCGATCATGACAGTTGATGAATCTACCAGAAACCATAAAGTAAAAATAACATCATTCAATCATATAAACTGAAAACGCAGTAGGTCATAAACAGAGATATTTGTAAATTAGTGATATTACAACAGGTGTATACTATTGGAAACCCTAATGCAACACTGTAGTCCGGGGAACGATAGCTTAGTCCGGGGAACGATAGCTTACCTGCTGGTCGTGCAGCTTCTGTTGTCAACGAGTCCACCATTGGGGCAGAATAAGTTGTTTGGTGAGGTGCTGTTGAAAGAAAGAAGATATTGCCAAATGAAGATGTCTCGCACGACGTAATAATGTCACTAGGAAATAAGAATGAATTTTTGCCTTCAGTTACTTCAGCATTAGAAGCCTCTGTACTCGAGTCTTTTTCTTGAGTCAACGCGTTGGCATCTGATGATGTTCCTACTGTTATTGTAATGTACACGTAGCGCATAATAATGGCGTTAAAATGACGTTTTGCAGTAAACTTTGACTAAGAACGCAATAAAATTGAATATTCAAAAAAAAATAATAAAGTGACGGCTCTTTTCTATAATGCATTACGAATACAGAAAAAGCTGAGCTTTAAAAAGTATTTTCATTAACAAAAACAAGTGAACAATTCGACGGTGCTTTACCTTCCGGTGGGGCGCCCTCTGTTGTTGAGTCTCTCCCTGGACTATCAGTCACCGACTCCGATGCTGTAGTTATCAAACGATTCAGATTAATGAATAAATCTCTCACTGTACAAATTGATCAATATTTTGTTCCAAAAAAATATCAATAGGATGATTAATTTGGTGAGCGAAATATCCTTCAGCTTTTTTCTTTTGTTTGTTCAATTGTGTTATTCTCCCAATATTATGTTTCCATTGTTAAAAGTGAGTTCTTGGTGACTTTAACTCTAATAAACCAACTCTTGGTGAACTTGTAAAAAGCATTTTCAGAAATCGTGAAATTTCTGAAATTAGACGCCTTTTGTCAAAACTACTTTCGTTCCCCTAATACTCCGGACGGCAATTGTTTCTTTGTTCGACAAGGCACTCACCTTGCATGGTTGGATCGATTACTGCGGCTGCAGTAGAACTTTGCTCAGAACGCGATGATGATCTTGTCGGAGTGAAATCCATTGCTTGTGAAAAATTATAGTACAACTGTTTGAATGTTGTGAAAATTTTGGATGCCAAATTGGGAAAGGGGCCATATACAAATGAATGAATCATTTAATACCGAATGAGAATGAAGATGTGAATGTTACATTAAGGTGGCCACCAAAGTTCATCAATGAAAAACTACTTTGACCATATTTTTTTAAGGAAAAGATAGTGGCTGTGGTACGCAATGCGTGCCTTTATTGTGACGTCTCTTTTTTTGGGGGGGGGGGGGTCCCCCTGGATCTGCCCTTGCAATTGAAGATAGGAAAAGACTTTACCTTGGGTCGTCTCATCACCAGACCCGTCTCCAGAGGTTTGCCCAGACCCAGACCCCGATGATGATGCTACATGAATTTGTGCAAAATACATCACAAAAAAGAATAATGATGCACCGAGTTTAAAAAGAAAAAACCTGAAAACTGGATGATGATTCTTTATGTCTGATAGGCATGCATTATTTTAAATGCTCAAAATGAAGACCAATAATATATACGAATAAACAATATTTTGTAAAGTGTCTCAATCTCAGTTGGAGAGAAAAATGTGTTTTTACCTTCAGTCGTCTCATCACCAGACCCGTCTCCAGAAGGTTGCCCAGACCCAGACCCTGATGATGATGCTACATGAATTTGTGCAAAATACATAAAAAAATAAATACTGATGCACCGAGTTTTAAAAACACCTTGAAAACTGGATAATGATTCTGTATGTCTGAAAGGCATGCATTATTTTACATGCTCAAAATGAAGACCAATAATACAAACAAATAATAATATTTTGAAAAGTGTCTCAATCTCAGTTGGAGAGAGGAATGCATTTTACCTTCAGTCGTCTCATCACCAGACCCATCTCCAGAAGGTTGCCCAGACCCAGACCCCGATGATGATGCTACATGAATTTGTGCAAAATACATAAAAAAAAAAAAATGATGCACCGTGTTTTAAAAACACCTTGAAAACTGGATAATGATTCTGTATGTCTGATAGACATGCACGATTGTAAATGCTCAAAATGAAGACCAATGAAGGGCAAAACCTAATTTGATTTATATCACCCCGACACAAAATTCCATCTTATAATAAATTATTCGGTACCCGCTGCTATGAACATCAGATTCCAACCAGGCAACCGATCCCGTTAGCTCGGTGGTCGAGTGGTAAGACATCTGCACTAGAAAGCAGGAGGTCGTGGGTTCGAGTCCGACCCGAGTGATTTTTTTCCAACTTTCATTCGGGAGGTAACACACTGAGTATACAGTGTTTAAACGTCGGTGAAGGGCAAAACCTAATTTGATTTATATCACCATGACGCAAAATTCCATCTTATAAAAGATCAATGATACTAACGAATAAACAATATTTTATAAAGTGTCACAATCTCAGTTGGAGAGAAGAATGCATTTTACCTTCAGTCGTCTCATCACCAGACCCGTCTCCAGAAGGTTGCCCAGACCCAGACCCTGATGATGATGCTACATGAATTTGTGCAAAATACATTAAAAAAAAATACTGATGCACCGAGTTTTAAAAACACCTTGAAAACTGGATAATGATTCTGTATGTCTGAAAGGCATGCATTATTTTACATGCTCAAAATGAAGACCAATAATACAAACAAATAATAATATTTTGAAAAGTGTCACAATCTCAGTTGGAGAGAAGAATGTGTTTTTACCTTCAGTCGTTTCATCACCAGACCCGTCTCCAGAAGGTTGCCCAGACCCAGACCCTGATGATGATGCTACATGAATTTGTGCAAAATACATGAATTTGTGCAAAATACATCACAAAAAAGAATAATGATGCACCGAGTTTAAAAAGAACAAACCTGAAAACTGGATAATGATTCTGTATGTCTGATAGGCATGCACGATTGTAAATGCTCAAAATGAAGACCAATGAAGGGCAAAACCCTAATTTGATTTATATCACCCCGACACAAAATTCCATCTTCTAATAGTTTATGCAGTACCCACTGCATATGTACTTTTATGTACATCAGATTCAAACTGGCCAACCGGTGGTCGAGTGGTAAGACATCTGCACTAGAAAGCAGGAGGTCGTGGGTTCGAGTCCCACCCGAGTGATTTTTTTCCAGCTTTCACTCTGGAGGTAACACACCGAGTATACAGTGTTTAAACGTCAGTGAAGGGCAAAACCTAATTTGATTTATATCACCATGACGCAAAATTCCATCTTATAAAAGATCAATGATACTAACGAATAAACAATATTTTATAAAGTGTCACAATCTCAGTTGGAGAGAGGAATGCATTTTACCTTCAGTCGTTTCATCACCAGACCCGTCTCCACAAGGTTGCCCAGACCCAGACCCTGATGATGATGCTACATGAATTTGTGCAAAATACATTAAAAAAAAATACTGATGCACCAAGTTTTAAAAACACCTTGAAAACTGGATAATGATTCTGTATGTCTGAAAGGCATGCATTATTTTACATGCTCAAAATGAAGACCAATAATACAAACAAATAATAATATTTTGAAAAGTGTCTCAATCTCAGTTGGAGAGAAGAATGTGTTTTTACCTTCAGTCGTTTCATCACCAGACCCGTCTCCAGAAGGTTGCCCAGACCCAGACCCTGATGATGATGCTACATGAATTTGTGCGAAATACATAAAAAAAAATAATAACGATGCACCGAGTTTTAAAAACACCTTGAAAACTGGATAATGATTTTGTATGTCTGATAGGCATGCACGATTGTAAATGCTCAAAATAAAGACCAATGAAGGGCAAAACCTAATTTGATTTATACCACCCCGACGCAAAATTCCATCTTCTAATAGTTTATGCAGTACCCCCTGCATATGTACTGTTATGTACATCAGATTCAAACTGGCCAACTGGTGGTCGAGTGGTAAGACATCTGCACTAGAAAGCAGGAGGTCGTGGGTTCGAGTACCACCCGAGTGATTTTTTTTCCAACTTTCACTCGGGAGGTAACACACTGAGTATACAGTGTTTAAACGATGGTGAAGGGCAAAACCTAATTTGATTTATTTCACCTGATGCAAAATTCCATCTTATAAAAGATCAATAATACTAACGAATAAACAATATTTTATAAAGTGTCACTATCTCAGTTGGAGAGAAGAATGCATTTTACCTTCAGTCGTTTCATTACCAGACCCGTCTCCAGAAGGTTGCCCAGACCCAGACCCCGATGATGATGCTACATGAATTTGTGCAAAATACATCACAAAAATAATAATGCACCTAGTTTTACAAACACCTTGAAAACTGGACTATGATTCTGTATGTCTGAAAGGCATGCATTATTTTACATGCTCAAAATGAAGACCAATAATATATTTGTATGAACGATATTTTGTAAAGTGTCACAATCTCAGTTGGAGAGAGGAATGTATTTTACCTTCAGTCGTTTCATTACCAGACCCGTCTCCAGAAGGTTGCCCAGACCCAGACCCTGATGATGATGCTACATGAATTTGTGCAAAATACATTAAAAAAAAAATACTGTTGCACCGAGTTTTAAAAACACCTTGAAAACTGGATAATGATTCTGTATGTCTGAAAGGCATGCATTATTTTACATGCTCAAAATGAAGACCAATAATACAAACAAATAATAATATTTTGAAAAGTGTCTCAATCTCAGTTGGAGAGAAGGATGTGTTTTTACCTTCAGTCGTTTCATCACCAGACCCGTCTCCAGAAGGTTGCCCAGACCCAGACCCCGATGATGATGCTACATGAATTTGTGCAAAATACATCACAAAAAAGAATAATGATGCACCGAGTTTTAAAAACACCTTGAAAACTGGATAATGATTCTGTATGTCTGATAGACATGCACGATTGTAAATGCTCAAAATGAAGACCAATGAAGGGCAAAACCTAATTTGATTTATATCACCCCGATGCAGATTCCATCTTATAAAAGATCAATGATACTAACGAATAAACAATATTTTATAAAGTGTCACTATTTCAGTTGGAGAGAAGAATGCATTTTACCTTCAGTCATCTCATCACCAGACCCGTCTCCAGAAGGTTGCCCAGACCCAGACCCTGATGATGATGCTACATGAATTTGTGCGAAATACATCACAAAAAAGAATAATGCACCTAGTTTTAAAAACACCTTGAAAACTGGATCATGATTCTGTATGTCTGATAGGCATGCATTATTTTACATGCTCAAAATGAAGACCAATAATATATACGAATAAACGATATTTTGTAAAGTGTCTCAATCTCAGTTGGAGAGAAGAATGTGTTTTTACCTTCAGTCATCTCATCACCAGACCCGTCTCCAGAAGGTTGCCCAGACCCAGACCCTGATGATGATGCTACATGAATTTGTGCAAAATACATCACAAAACAATAATAATGATGCACCGAGTTTTAAAAACACCTTGAAAACTGGATAATGATTCTGTATGTCTGATAGGCATGCATTATTTTACATGCTCAAAATGAAGACAATGAAGGGCAAAACCTAATTTGATTTATATCACCCCGACGCAAAATTCCATCTTATAATAGTTTATGCAGTACCCCCTGCATATTTACTGTTATGTACATCAGATTCAAACTGGCCAACCGGTGGTCGAGTGGTAAGACATCTGCACTAGAAAGCAGGAGGTCGTGGGTTCGAGTCCCACCCGAGTGATTTTTTTTCCAACTTTCACTCTGGAGGTAACACACTGAGTATACAGTGTTTAAACATCGGTGAAGGGCAAAACCTAATTTGATTTATATCACCCCGGCGCAAAAATTCCATCTTATAATAGTTTATGCGGTACCCGCTGCTATGTACATCAGATTCCAACCAGGCAACCGATCCCGTTAGCTCGGTGGTCGAGTGGTAAGACATCTGCACTAGAAAGCAGGAGGTCGTGGGTTCGAGTCCCACCCCAGTGATTTTTTTTCCAACTTTCACTCGGGAGGTAACACACTAAGTATACAGTGTTTAAACGTCGGTGAAGGGCAAAACCTAATTTGATTTACATCACCCTGACGCAAAATTCCATCTTATAAAAGATCAATGATACTAACGAATAAACAATATTTTATAAAGTGTCACAATCTCAGTTGGAGAGAGGAATGCATTTTACCTTCAGTCGTTTCATCACCAGACCCGTCTCCAGAAGGTTGCCCAGACCCTGATCCCGATGATGATGCTACATGAATTTGTGCAAAATACATAAAAAAAAAAAAAAATGATGCACCGAGTTTTAAAAACACCTTGAAAACTGGATAATGATTCTGTATGTCTGATAGGCATGCACGATTGTAAATGATCAAAATGAAGACCAATGAAGGGCAAAACCTAATTTGATTTATATCACCCCGACGCAAAACTCCATCTTATAATAGTTTATGCAGTACCCACTGCATATGTACTGTTATGTACATCAGATTCAAACTGGCCAACCGGTGGTGGAGTGGTAAGACATCTGCACTAGAAAGCAGGAGGTCGTGGGTTCGAGTCCGACCCGAGTGATTTTTTTCCAAATTTCATTCGGGAGGTAACACACTGAGTATACAGTGTTTAAACGTCGGTGAAGGGCAAAACCTAATTTGATTTATATCACCATGACGCAAAATTCCATCTTATAAAAGATCAATGATACTAACGAATAAACAATATTTTATAAAGTGTCACAATCTCAGTTGGAGAGAAGAATGCATTTTACCTTCAGTCGTCTCATCACCAGACCCGTCTCCAGAAGGTTGCCCAGACCCAGACCCTGATGATGATGCTACATGAATTTGTGCAAAATACATTAAAAAAAAATACTGATGCACCGAGTTTTAAAAACACCTTGAAAACTGGATAATGATTCTGTATGTCTGAAAGGCATGCATTATTTTACATGCTCAAAATGAAGACCAATAATACAAACAAATAATAATATTTTGAAAAGTGTCACAATCTCAGTTGGAGAGAAGAATGTGTTTTTACCTTCAGTCGTTTCATCACCAGACCCGTCTCCAGAAGGTTGCCCAGACCCAGACCCTGATGATGATGCTACATGAATTTGTGCAAAATACATCACAAAAAAGAATAATGATGCACCGAGTTTAAAAAGAACAAACCTGAAAACTGGATAATGATTCTGTATGTCTGATAGGCATGCACGATTGTAAATGCTCAAAATGAAGACCAATGAAGGGCAAAACCTAATTTGATTTATATCACCCCGACGCAAAACTCCATCTTATAATAGTTTATGCAGTACCCACTGCATATGTACTTTTATGTACATCAGATTCAAACTGGCCAACCGGTGGTCGAGTGGTAAGACATCTGCACTAGAAAGCAGGAGGTCGTAGGTTCGAGTCCCACCCGAGTGATTTTTTTTCCAACTTTCACTCGGGAGGTAACACACTGAGCATACAGTGTTTAAACATCGGTGAAGGGCAAAACCTAAGTTGATTTACATCACCCCGACGCAAAATTCCATCTTATAAAAGATCAATGATACTAACGAATAAACAATATTTCATAAAGTGTCACAATCTCAGTTGGAGAGAGGAATGCATTTTACCTTCAGTCGTCTCATCACCAGACCCGTCTCCAGAAGGTTGCCCAGACCCAGACCCTGATGATGATGCTACATGAATTTGTGCGAAATACATACAAAAAAAAATGATGCACCAAGTTTTAAAAACACCTTGAAAACTGGACAATGATTCTGTATGTCTCATAGACATGCATTATTTTACATGCTCAAAATGAAGACCAATAATACAAACAAATAACAATATTTTGTAAAGTGTCACAATCTCAGTTGGAGAGAAGAATGCATTTTACCTTCAGTCGTTTCATCACCAGACCCGTCTCCAGAAGGTTGCCCAGACCCAGACCCTGATCCCGATGATGATGCTACATGAATTTGTGCGAAAAACATTTTAAAAAAAAAGGAAACTAAGGCACCGAAAAATAATGTGAAAACTGGATTCTTTTTTTGTGTAAAACACGACGTGAACAATATGCCAATGTATTGGCAGTGTTTGATTTCATGTAACTTTAAGGCATTCCCCCTCCCCTTCCCTCTACCGCTTAGAATTTGGAAAAAGGCAATAAAAATGATGTTTGTTTTTTTGTAAAACATCCACCGGGGATCCCCTTTCATAGGCGTAACCAGCAGGTAGGGAGGGGGGAGGGGTTTAACCATCCCATAGCTTTTATAAAGACTGCCCTTTTCCATTCAAATGCCCCTTTTTCCCAAATGTTAACCCCCTAACGAGTGCCTTTTTTTTTCAACTTTGCGCCTGTGCCGCCCTGAAAACGCCATCTATTGTTCGAAAGTGTGTACGATCGTCCCGTTTGAACAGCGCCCTCATTGGAAGATGGTAAAAGCAGAGAAGTAGGTGAATTACTTGTACTCTGCGCATGTGTAATTGCTTAGGCGATTAGTACAAAGTCTGTTTAGCTGTACTGGGGTTGCCGCGCTGGTATGTTTAGCTGTTGAGTCGTAAGTATGAAGCTATTCTAGCTGTACGAGCATTATATAAGTTCTTAAGTAAAATTAGTCCCTTTAACAGAACAAATGCCCCAATCAAATGCCCCCCCCCCCAGGTCCGATGTCGGGATTTGGTCACGTTTTTCATGTCCCAAGGTGGAGATTTTGGTCACTCCAATTACCAGTGTTGTAGGTCTCGAGACCGGTCTCGGTCTCGAGACCGGTCTCGAGACCACTTTTTGCTGGTCTCGGTCTCGGTCTCGGTCTCGGAAGCTGTGGTCTCGGTCTTGGTCTCGGTCTCGGTCCCCTTTGGTCTCGATAGTTTGGCTCGTCTCGGGTCGAGACCGGCAATATGTAGCTTTTACAGCTCGATCGATTACTTTGTGTTCACTTCGTTCAGTACCCTTGTTATCTAAAACATTTGCTAGCCCGTAGATCAAGCTTGTTATATATCGCGGTCGCGGTTTGGACTCGACTGCACGTTGGAGTCCCCAAAGTACATGTTAAACTGCAGCAGTACCAGTCACCTGAACGATTTGGAACAAATTCGGCATTTATCTGTTGAGTCGGCCACATAAAGCAAAGTATAAACTTGTAACAATTTATGCAATAAGGGTCAACCATTTTCGGGGATTGTGTAGTTTAGCCCACCCCTGTGGGCGTAATCACTTGCATTTCGTATTCTGATAATAAATGAGGTGCTTCAAATTAGTTATATTTTTGACCCCACACAATGTTCTCTTTCATTTGGGACAGTATTTTGAAGAAAAAGTAAATTTTTCTACCTGATTTTCCAGCTTTGAACTCACACACTCTTACCAGTTACCACTCACTGTTGCCATGAGAGTGTATGATGAGACCCCATTTTCTGGCTGCTCATTTTAAAGTACCCCATTATTCCTCAAAAATTAAAAATCCCGTTCAGAAAAAAAATAAAAATCCATATCTGGCACATTCTGGCTACCACCTCGCAACTTGTGGGTCTACATGTACAAGTCCACATTCTATGACAAAAATTTAAAAATTAATTCAACATTTTCTAGCTCCCATTTTTTAAAATCAAGTACACAAGTCTTGTTAGAAGTTAAGTCCTAAATTTATTTTATGAAAAAAGTAAGACTGCTGCAAACTGCTTACTGACTGGGTGGACCTGAAATATATAAATCTAAAAATTAATGTGGCCTGACGTTGCGAACTTAGCAAGTTCTTCTTCAGAGGCTAAAACAGAAATGACAGAGGTACATACATTAACATGGGGGTGCACACAAACATGCAGGGATGAAAGAAGAAACACAAAAGGAGGATTAGGTGGGAAAGGTGTGGAAAGATGCAGGGGAGGGTGGATGAGAGAACAAAGAAACAAAGGGAGATGGCAAACCACAAGGGGTCTGGTATGAACAGGGGAGGGACCAGAAAGGGGAAGGATCAAAGGTCACAGGGAGTGGGAACGGACAAAAGAGTGTGGGAGTGAAGGGGGATTATGCGGGGGGGGGGGGGGGGGGGGGGGGAACAGTATGGAGGTGGAAAGGGATGAAAGATGGGGAAAGATGGGGAAACACAAACAATGAAGACCAGGTGGATTATCTGTAACAGAAGACAATGGAGGAAGAAAAATATTAATCATTTCCAAGTTGGATGTTGAGACCATGTGGTTGAATAGTTCGAAGACGATTCATCCACACTTTCTCTCTGCTGAGGCGAACTGAGTCCTTGCGATGGCCAAGAGATTCAATGCCCTGCAAAATCATATCAGAAATGGAGTGGTTAGGCAGGTTGAAGTGATGACCAACAGGGGTGTCTAGTTTCTTGGTGTTGACCGTTGACCGGTGGGCATAGAAACGCTTCTTGAGCGTATTCTTAGTCTCACCTACATACTGCACTCCAAATTATTTTAGGAAAAAAAAAGGCAATGTAAAATTAAAATTGCATCTTTAAATATCCCTTAGAAGTCATAGCTGAAACCAAGGGGGCGACTGTGGAGTTTAGGATCCGAGTTCCTATAACAGATGAAACATCTACCTTCAACCTTTCGTCAAGATTGGGTGCAGACAACATACCAAAGCCCATATTTCTTAAGTGTAACTACTTTTTGCTCAAGTAAGGTGTCATGTATCAATTTGTCAACATTGCCACTGGTCAAAATTTTGGTCTGTATTCTTTGTGAATAGAAAGGTTACATTTTTCAACTATAATAACGTGTCTTGTTTTTTTTATTTCGACTATTGTTATTTATTATCAGCGGTCTCGGTCTCGGACCATATTGGTCTCGGTCTCGGTCCGCCTTGAAGGGGCTGGTCTCGGTCTCGGTCTCGGTCTCGAATCTTCAGGTCTCGGTCTTGGTCTCGGTCTCGGACCATCAGGTCTCGACTACAACACTGCTCCTGAGACATATACGCAACTTTGTAAGGGAGTCTAGATGCTGCGATTTGAGCAAATATATCATCAACTATTGATAATTATGATTACATGTGCAATTGGACATAGATTATCCGTACGAAAATGGAATAGGCCCTACCCGGGTTAAAGTTATTTTAAAAAGCATGAAATTGTATTTTTTTTCATAATTTTTTGTTCAGGGGCTTTCCTTAGCATAATTCGCTTTGCCAGTTTATTAAGGATTTCGGCTTCAATGTATAGGCCATATACTCAAATTTTGACATTGTCACAAATTACGCATGACTTATTTCTTTCCGGTAACATGCACTGAATATGTAGTGTCTGCAATCTTCAAGTCATTCTATTTTTTTTTCTCCTAAAGCATTTTGAACATCGAATGTTCTATTTTAACAACTTTCCGCTTATTTGGGCATTCGCAACTCTTTGGAAAAAGTTTTTTGGGGGGGGGGGGTGCTATCCGGGCATAAAGAGATCCGCCCTATAAGAGCTGTGCCGCAAATAAATTGAAATTTTGCAAAATAATTATTCCATAACTAAACTAGAGCCAATTAAAAAAAAAAAAAAAATGAAAATAATATTTTTCGATGTCAAATTGACAACAGTTCATTTTAAACAGTTCATTTAGTTGCACCATTAAAGTGATCATCCCTTTAGAATAATGGGACCTGTTGCTCAACATCTTGCCTGAAGTTTGTGCGAATATCAATTGCTAGGCCTATAAACTTCTTAGCAAGGTCGTCCTCAACGTCGTGAGTAAAATTATACCTAAATCGACCAACATTATTGAGACAATTTCACAGCAAATGTCAGGTAGCTTTTCACCAAACATTTTACAACGCACATAGCCTAACGGATATCAACACGGTCTTCAGTGGCGTATACAGCGGGGATGGCAACTTGCCTCGCCCCTTGCGGATTTTATATTTTATTTTTTTTTCCAAATATTTTTTAGTGACTATTTCCAGTGATGGCCCCGACAAGAACGAGAAATAAGCCAAAAATACATCAGGCTTTTGATTTTGTCCCCGCCTGATATCAAATGCTGAAAAGACCGGTGACTATAAGGCGTTTGATTCTGCCCCCATCCCTGACATGAAAAGCTGGAAACACCGCTGAAGGTCTTCATAAAGACTTGTGTCTATTTTTCAGTATAGACAAGCTCTACTTTTTCCGTCTATTTCTTTGATTAAAGTTGGCCGGAATTTTCCAACTAAAGGTCCTTTGAATAGCGATATTTTGGTTGTTTTCAGCGTTTAGGTCCGACGAAAAGTAAAAATCTTACCGGATATTACGGTGACGAGCAAAGCAAATCCAAGAAGGAGAACGCAAATAGTCGAAGGACGTTCACTCAACGCTTTCAGACCCATCGTCAATTAAGTGCGGCGGGTTTTTGGAGGGAGACACGTTTTCCCGCCGACTTCCGTCGACTTTCAGTTTGGTTCTGATTGACTCGGCAGTTCACTACGTCTCTACACCCTGGCCTTGCACGCAAACTTCCGCTGAAATCTTCCCTTTGTGGCGTTTTTATAACTTTTGGCCAAGCAAAATCAAGTTTAGGTTTATCACCTGGGCTGTAATTTTAAATAAACCCTGTTATTCATTAATTTGAACACTCATTTATTTTTTTGGAAAAGAGCATCCTTGACATTATATTGTAAGGTAATCAAGGATGCCTCAAGATTTAAACGACCTATAGATCTATAGATCAGTAACGAGAATTAATAATGTACCGTTTAATTTCCCAATTAATACAAAAGTGACAACCTTTAAGTGAAATAGGCGAGCCAGCAATGGTAAACTCAACTTTTTTTGCGGTCACATGACTAAATCCAACAGAGGCAACATTGTCCAAGTAAAGTGCTGCTCCCAACAACCAATTCTAAAGTTGGTGTCGATGGTGTACAGGTTTTTTTTAATTATAAAATTATAATTATTATAATTATTATACAAACAGTTGGCGCGTTGAGCAATGTCCTTGTATTTTAACACAAGAGGCGTTTGTTCCTTCGTACCTTGACCGAGACTACGAAACGTTCGGTAATAAAAAGAAAGCAGTAGCACACACGCCTACATTATACACTCCGCAGCCATGAATTGAAATGACGCTTGGAAAGTTGAGGGAAAAATGACTATTTTTTGGTGCTGTAACTTTTCGCATGCTTACAAAAACAGTCTGGATGTTTTAATTATCAAATGACTCGTTCAAATTGAAGTAAGAAGTTTTTTCAGAACACCACAATCTCTAAACATGAAATAACTTTATTGTTGGGAGTTTTTAAGATAACAAATGGCCCCATATCGAATCTGGAGTGGGTCTGTTGACTTCCCCCATCAACCCCTGGCTGTGGTGCTCGATAATTCCCTCTCTTGTGCACTAATACTCTTTTTTCGCTGGTGTAAACGCCTTAAAAGGGTTTTCTTCATAGATCTGACCGCACACATTCAGACTCAGTGACATCTACACACCGGGGTACCAACTTACAATGAGGGAAATAGTTCAGTTTTTACCCGTTTCTCTTGCATTTGGAAGTATTTTATATTGGATGTTTGAGAAAGATCAAACTAATTCGTGTTAGTCATGTGGACAATGGATACACTTTCAAAGGCCAGAAATATCGGACAATATCCACTCTGTGGTTTGTCCAGACCTTGGACAACCAGGATTGTGTTCTCTTTTGTGAGTGGAATTTGTTTTGAAATAAGCTACAAATTTCGGCGTTGTAATCTTTCAATACAGATGGTAAGGTTATACAAATCACCATTTGTGGCATAACACGGAGCTCTTGACCATTGCAACTGAAGCGTAAAATAAAGTTATTATATTAAAGGAGATTCGGCATGGGCGTCGCCATAATATTTTCGGGGGGGGGGGGGAGCACCACCTTTTGCGCGTTCTACCGACTTGATAGCCCACAGCACACGGTACGTAAGGAACAGCACAGCATTTTGCACAAGCGCCTTGCTTGACCTGTCGCCGTACAGTTGCGAGCTAGCCACGCCCCTTAGACAACCCCATGGAATTTGTGTATCTTTAAGTTTTGTTTGTCTCAGATTTTGCTCGTTCCGCGTCCATTTGTATAATTATCATGTAATTGGACAATTATTATTTCACAAGCTGCGATTCTACCGTGATAGGTTAATTGTGTGGCTTGCTTTAACAGAAAAACACCGAAGTGTATAATAGGCGGGTTAATACAAGAATTGGCTCACTGGTATGGAGAAACATACAAATGGCATCGTACGTTAACAGGAAAACAACAAAATCCGGCTATGTACACAAAAAAACACCCGCCGATGGATCTTACGCCGGCAACAAAACCTGTATACACCAGGCCCTACGTACCTGCGCGTTGCGGGTAACTTTAAACATAATAATGGTATCATTGTAAGCCAAACCCACTCCATTATCCCAAAACTAGATGGGCGCCAAATTAAATTGTCTGCTGGAGTATTGAATTGTTTCTGTCATGGCTGGAGTATATAGTTGGGGAGATAGAGGGGGGTATCGTGCACCCTCGGAAATCAATTTCTAATCAACGTTCCGAGGTCAGAAAAAAAATGCGTAGAAAACGATTTGTTGTGTTAAAAAATTCAAAAATTGTCCCACATATTGTTTTTATGCAAATTAGTGCCGCCATTACCGAAAAATCTATTTTTCACTATATCTCAGCCAATATTGCAGATAATTGAATGAATTAGGTGTCTAAACCCATGTTTTCAAGGTCAGAGATCACAATAAAACTATTCTGGAATTGACCACATGTGTCTGTGGCAGGAATATGCAAATTAGCGCCGCTAATACCGGAAAATCATGTTTTTGGCATATCTCGGCCCATATAGCACAGATAGACTAGGTGTTATTTTCAAAATTGATACAAGAAGAGGCATTTTTGAGAAGAAGTAGGTAACATAGCTATGTTACCTAATTTTGGGTTGCTGAATACGAAAGTGATGGTTACCAAGCTGGATTTTTCGTGAAAATATGCCTAATTTCCATAAATCTTTAAAATCTGTCGTGTTATCAAATTTGGGTATATTTTTTTTATTTTTATTTTTTATTTATTTTGCTGTTTCTACTTACACTTCCTTACTTCAATAACATTTTCTAAAGCATATAAGTGACTCAATGATTATGAGGACATAGTAACAATCCGAAATGGCTGCTATTTTACCCCGAAATTGTGCGCGTTTACCTTGTCTCTAGATATCATCAAGTAGTCTTGCAAAACGTCATTATTAATGAACTTCAAATTCATCATGTTACTTACTGGTACAGTTACCTTATTAAAACCTGGAAAATCATGTGAACAATGATAATATCTTGATATTCAGCCCAGTAAACAAAAACGGGGGAAAACAAGGTGTCCGTAATTTGGGCTATAAAGTAGATGAAGGGTTGCCTAACGTGGGAGACTTGAACAAGTTCAATGAAATTCCCAAAATTATTGGTAAGAAAACGTTTTGATCTTGACGTAATTATTGTAACCAACACTTATCTGTTATTTTGGGGGATTTCCTTGAAGTTGTTCAAGTACCCCATGTTAGGCAACCCTTCGCCTATTTTTCTAGCCCAATTTACGGACACCTCGTCATTTTTCTCCATGTTTTTTCTTTTTTTGGCCTAAAAATCAAGACGTTATCATTGTTCACATGATTTCCCATTTCTTTCGGTTAGGGTAACTGTGCCATAGTACCTTTGTGAATTTGACGCTCAACAATACTGAGATTTGGCGAGACTACTTGATGACATCTGATGAAAAGTTAATGCGCGCAACTTTAGGGTGTAATAATAGCCATTTTGGATGTTACTATGTCCTCATAATCATTCAGTTGCTTGTACGCTTTAGAAAATGTTATTGAAGTAAGAAAGTGTAAGTAGAATCACAAAAATAAACTTTTCCCCCCAAAATAATAAAAATATGCGCAAATATGGGAACAAATATATTACACGAGAGGTATTTAAGATTTATGGAAATTAGGCATATTTCCACTAAAAATCCAGCTTGGTAACAATCATTTTCGGATTCAGCACCCTCAAATTAGGAAAAATAGCTGGGTTACCAACTTCTACTCAACTTTTTCGTGCCCTAAATGGGCCTTCATTTTCAATATCACCTAAACTAATGTTTTGAGGGTCAGGTATCATTAGAAGACCATTTACGAATTAACTATGTGTGTCTTTGGCAGGTAAATATGTAAATTCTAAAGTGCCGATTTATCAGAAATTTGATTTTTAGCCAATATTGCAGCTGATTTCAACAGAAAGGTTTTGATAAACGGTAATAATCAAAGTTGATTTTAAGCCATCGTATTAAAAATAAACTGTAATATTGGCTGAAATTGAATAAAACATTTGCTAAAAACCAAATTTTAGATAAACTTGCAATTTGGAATTTACATATTTTCATGCCAAAGAGACACAGTTCTTCGTGAATGGTCTTCTTATGGCACCTGACATGGGCAAGCCACGACAGGAATTCACAAATTCACAAATATGGGGCGTCCTTGAACCCGTGTGGATAGTAGGTTGGCCCGGGGAGCCAGTGCAGACGGCGTGTCGTGTATACCCTTTACCCCTCCATTGTTCCCCCCTGATTACACGGCTACAGTCAGACAAGGCAGTGGGTTGGCCCGCTATTGTCTAGGCCCGGGTGACTGTACTTTTTTTCCCCAATGCAACAGGAGAAAAAAGGCGCGGGGCAAGCCACGACAGGAATCCAATGCCAAGCTCGCGCTGTTTTTCCTCTTTTCTCCCCGGTTTCATTATTGTGATGGTTATTTGGTAACAATTGCATTCTTGTAACCTTGAAGGATTAACAAAGGACCAACAGTAATGGAACTGACTCCGAGGAGCCAGTGAAAAGTCCAGCACAAAAGTCGAACCGCGGTATTATTATATATATACATTTTGCAACTGTGTCTATCTGTTAAGTACCCTGTGGCTTGGCAATGGATGATGAATGGACTACGGGGTTTTAGGGAAAACAAGTTTTGAAAGAGAACTAGCGTACCTGACCTTTTAACAGGAAACAAAATGGGGGGGGCACCACAAATCCGCTCTTTTTTGACTTGTTGAGCCCATCCCCGCAATTTTAATTCCATGGGGTTTTGAAAGTTGCGTGCGAAGGGATGATTATGACGAAACACAATTTGTAAAGACGCGAATTCCGATCCAAAAATAAAAAAAATATGACAACACAACCAAAAATGAAAATGGAAGGTGGTTCCTGACGGAAGTTTGATTAGGGCAAGGTCTTGGACGCATAAATCAATGAAAACAACAAAAATAGCAACGTGATCAGGTAGCATTATTTGAAGTAACCATCTACTTATATAGACCTTTATCACGCTGCCACCATTTCAGTCATGTTCCCTTTATCTAACCGAACAGTAATGAATGATGTTTTTTGTACAAAAAAGAAACCAGACTAGTTTTACTTCCAGCCTCGCTTTGGTTACGTTGATTCGAATGGGAAAAAAATCAAGATGGCCGCAACATGAAAATGGTCAATTGTAAGT